ATAAGCAAGGAAATGCAGTAATTAACATATTAACGGTATGTCCAGACTACAGGCTGAAACTTTAAACGGCCTAGCTCACATTCTGGACGTGGTATAATAGCTAAGGCAGAGCTGCACGAACATTGTCAGTTCTCAGTGAAGTAAATCAAAGATAGCTCAGCTATTGCTTCATAAGGGAGTTCCCAAATTAGCTTGCTTCTCCGTGCTACAAACCTGCAGGCAGGAAAAGATTTCATTATTTTGGTGGCATTCGCTCAGCATCACCTGTGTGCATCGCTCACAAAGGCATCACAGTTTGAGACCAGCTACTCCATGCCACCGCTAGACAACTGTAGGACAGAGAGATGCTTTGGAAGGAGACTGAAATCGTACAGTGGAAGGAAACACACCCTTCCACACCAGCTTGTGACAGCCCTCCCGCAGGGCCTGAGACCACTGAACAACTTGCAAACCAGATCCTGAAGATCCTCTGCCTGGCAGTGTGTTTGTCCTGCATCGTCTCCAGTAACAAGGTGATGGTCAAAGTGAAGGCAGCAGAAGCTAGAACCTGCCTTGTCAAGGTTTTCCCTTCTAAATATAACTTCGATCAAGTCAATACTTCATTTCTGAGACAGTTATCACACGCTGGATATTGTCGATTCATCTGGCACACCACGAAAACTGGTTCCCCTCTTAGCAGTGTTCAATCCTTCATTCCTAAATCACTTCAAAATTAAAATTAGGAATCTTTTGCTCTGTCGATGCTTTGCTCTAACATCTATAAATAGTATACTGAGGAGACAATGCTGAGTCCGAGGAGAAAAATCACCCACTGAGTAACTCACATCTCTCCTTACTACAGGACGAAGTCAAGCCTAGCAAGTGATGGGGCCCACTGTCTCGCACCCTTTTTCACTGAATGCAGTTCGCTCCTGGCTGGCTAGCACCCACTATTTGCAGAATACTTCTGGAAGGTGATAGTCCTTGGACAGATAGGTATTACCACCTAGTTTCTCCTTCTCCTCTTCTTTTGTCCTCAAATTTATTTGTAGCTTCCACTGTTTGTAATGTAGGTCACACAATGCTACTCCTTGCATCAGATAACTAGTATGCTGCTGCCACAAGACATTTAGTATTCTCATAAGAAGATCAAGATTTTAGAGGACTGGAATTAGAAAACAGAAAAAAAAAAAAATCAGTTAATATAGTCCTCTGAGTGTATTTTACTTGCTAATCTGATCTGTTGCAGCATGCTGACCACACACTGCACGATCTCTTGGGTCTGGATTGGAGTTGTAGCCATCCAGAGGCTCCAAATCTTACTTGACATTTGCTAAAAATCAAATCCAGTCTGGAGCAACAGAGACGACATCGTTCAGCATATCTGAGTTCACAGATGGGCTAAAGAAACGGGTCTATTCCACATCCTAGGGGTTATCTCAAGCCCCCAGACTTGCCTAGAGTTGAACTGTGCTTGTGTTGCGTGGCTCCAGGAAATGCTAAAGGAGAAATGGTGAGCCCAGTCTATCCCTTTGCATGGAACTATTTTGCAGAAAGCAGAGCCCACAAACCGTAATAAAACCTTTTATTACTGGAACTGATAAGACACAATAACTGATGCAAAAGCCCTTCCAAAAAGATCCCTCATCTACCTGCCTCAAGCTGCATCTAAACTAAATTTCTAGGCAGTTTGATGGCTACCTACAACACAGTATGTATGGGGGTGCATTAGGAAGTTAAATATATCTTAGAGGTGACGGAGATGTGTGGAGCCAGGCCGGGAAACGCACTGCGCTTGATCCCAGCATCCAAGGTCAGAGGTAACGTAGGAAATTTGAATGAAGTCTTGCTGCTGGTTTCGACAAGGATTTGTGAACAAGTCACTTAAACTGGAAAAAAAAAAGTCTTCTTATCCAGCAGGGTCTTGGTAGGGCGATGCCAGCTGGTTTTTATATATATTGTGGAAAAAAAAAAAAAAAAAAGTAACAGTTTGAAATTACAGCCTGGGGGAATGGGTAACTGCACAACTGGATGGCTGCAAATTGCTGGAGCGGAGCTGGTCGCAATGGTGAGGCCTCCTGCAGGCAGGCAACGCTCCCCGCGTGGCTCCGGGAGCACCATCCCAGTTTTCCCCCCGATTCGGTGTAGTCTGTCCCCCTCTGCCGGCCACCCACCCGCCAGCCGGCTCCGGGAGCCCTGCGAAGAGCCAAACCCACCCGAAACTGGGGGCAGGAGCCCTGAAAATAACCAAACCCACCCGAAACAGGGAGCAGGAGCCCTGGAAATAACCAAACCCACCCAAAACTGGGGGCAGGAGACCTGTAAAGAGCCAAACCCACCCAAAACTAGGGGCACAGGAGCCTTGAAAATAACCAAACCCACCCAAAACGGGGGGCAGGAGCCCTGCAAAGAGCCAAACCCACCCGAAACTGGCGGTAAGAAAGAGGCTGATAATGGCAACCAACAGGCTGGAAAAGGAAAAAAAAAAAAAAAAAAGGTGGCAGTTAATACATGATCATGTTGCAGTATCAAGGAAAGACTTTTATCAGGGTCCTCAAGCAACTGGGCCTTGGGTTTGTGATACAAGCTAATATCAAACCCGCGCATTTCAAAGGGAGCACTACCCTGGTGTGACGGGGGGAGCAGATGTGATAGTTATGCTTCATAATTGCATGTGCTGGTGCCCATATTTTAATAATAACATCTGCTATACGCAGCCACATCTGGCGGGTATCACAGCCACATTTCTGCCTGCAGTTATTCAAAGTGGACAGTTTTCTAGAGAGGATACTGGAAACTCTGATAACAAACAGAAACGTGACTGAACTTGGCGTATTTCTACCCTAATATTGCGATAGCTCAATCTTTGCACTGCTTCTTTATATCTTTGTAACCGCACTCGTGCCGGGAAACTCTTATTGCTCAGACTGAGTTAGAGCAATCCCATTTCCTAGCACAGGAAAGGAGTTAGGAAGCAAAACGTAAGGAAATGTATGCTCCTGGATCACCTCATCAGACTTATGCCTTGCACATCACAGCACTGCAGCTGATTTATTTAAAAAGAAAGAACACAGAAGGAACATTACAAGAGAAACGCTTGCAATAGGAAAAATATTATGCCTAGGTAAACTGATATAAAGCTGCCTATCACAGCTGACGAAGATAAATAGAGTGAAGATGTAGAATTGTTATGGCATGACGATCCAAGGTTACAAGCAAAGTTTGGAAGAAGTGGGAACATCTTATTAGACAAATCAGTGTGCCTAGGAAGAGCAGGTATTTAATCTCGAGACAAAAACGGAAACAAATTCAATGTACGCTGTCAAGCTGGAGCACAAACTCCCCAATTGTGGAGTTTTCTCCCCAGTTTTGGTGTCCAATTCTGTTACTCAGCTGACTTTCTTCACCTGATTTATTCAACAGCAAAACATACAGTGCCTTGGGGAAACACAGAAAGATGCTTTGAAGACTTCAAGCATATGAAGATGTACAAGAAAAGGTAAACACTACCCCCTCTGGGAGTAGCTTAGAAATGTTCTCTCCTTTTCCCCCCTCTTACTTCCAGCGTTCTTTTTCTCTGGCAGAATTAACTCTGTTCTTGTTAATGGAATAATTTGTCAGATGCATGCATACATTATCCTGTAAATGAATGAACAAGATGCAGGGTTAGAAAGGTATTGGCCTCCTCCCTTCCTCTCTACATGATCCTGGTCACACCGCATAATGTACAGAGCATCTTAATTAAGCACAGAAGATTTAATGGCACTAAATATGATCAGCCCTATACTGATCCCATTACTCTAAAGAACCCAATAAATGAGGCTCAACAGTTTCAATTTCACTTCACTGCAATCTCATCAGCATTCCAATTCCATCACTTCTGAGAAATCAGCAGTTTCAATGGAAGATAACCCTCTTTCTCAGTCAGGTCCCATTCTACAACCACTTATTAGTGGAGCTAATTCTGTGTTGGAATGATCCAGAACTGCATACCAGAACCTTTTCCAGCCATCAGCTAAGCCATGACTTCTTTTCATAAAGAAGTAAACCAAAATATCTTAGCATTTAGGACATTTTTTTTCCTGCCAAGACCTCTTTGTCTTACAACTAACATTTTTTTTTCACAATAACGCTTCATGAAAAACAGTACCAGAATAATACAGAAAGTTAATTAGGTGTGTATTTATAGAAGTACTAACTGTGCCTAAACTTGTATGCAGCACTGATCTGGATAATATAACACATGCCGTATTCTACTATGGAATCTGCTCAAATATTTCATGCATAATTTTGTTTATGGCACTCAGATACTACCAAGATGAATTACTAGTATTTATGAAGTGCTTAGAGATTCTCAAGAGAAAGATGCTTCGGACAGTCGAACCATTATGATTTCTCTGTATTTCTGGTTGCTATGTATTGAACTGTCATTAACTTCTGCTAATAGGCTTGTTTACTTACCAAGCTATTATACAAAAGGTCAGAGGATGCTGAAGTAGCAAAATGTGTAAGGCTCTCATTACAGACAAATATCCTCGGAGGGTCACCAGCGCATAAATCCTCAGATCAAACTCAAATCTACCAAGAGTAAAAGGTTGGGAAGGAGAACGTTAAAGCCATTTTGCTTCTAAACTTGCACGAAACACATGAACAACACTGGCAACTCAATAATTGCTATAGCGAAGGTGCCAAGCCCAGCTGATGTCCCTGCTGAACCTTCCTATGCCAGGTATGCTTCCAAAAGAGTCTAGCTTGGTGCTGAGCTGGGAAAGACACTGGGAATGTCTCATATATGTGTTCACAGGTTCTTCACTTAATTTAAAGCTGTAGCTGGTCTTTGTGCAGCTTGGCAAGTCTTTGAAGTTCACCTCAGGCATGAATGTTTGAAGGAATGAAACATTAACAGCATGAAAGGAGCCTGTGGGTCAGTCCACCCTATCTCCTGCTCAGGAGGATCCGATTTCCTACCTTCTTTTTCTCCAAGCCAGAGGCTCCAAGTGTCCTCCCTTCCATCATTTTTACCCAGCCGTTCACACACTTTCATTCTTTCCTTGGAATGTTCCCTAAAAAAATAACAATGAGGTCAATGCAAAGTCAAACAAATATAGCCTGTAAAATAAAGTTATGTTCAAAGGTCAACAATAAACCAAAGTAAATTAAGATTTTGCTCCTCAAATTATTGGAAGTCCAAACTACTAGGAGCTTGCAGAAGTTTTGATATTAAACTTCATTAGGGACATGACTTAAAAGCATCAATCAAAACCACTTTGGTGAGACACTTGTTTGGAGTAGGACGATATGGCTTAATGGGACTCATGAAAAATGAGTATCTTTTAAGTGCTCATTCACTGAGGAGGGATAAAGTTTTCTTTGTTCAATTCATTTATCCTGAATGCCCTGAATTCTTGTCAAGGTGATTCTGTCTCAAAATATTAGAAATCATTTCGGAACAAGAGTTTACAGAGTTAACACGTAAAGTAGACGTTTTTCTCTTGACAGCGATGAATTCTTTTGACAGAGATGGATCTCAAGAAAATGACCAGTGAATGCTATTTATGGCTGACTGACCACATCAGGGCAAGGCTGAGCTGGATATTGAAACACCCAGTGACAAAGCAGCAATCTTGAAACATGGAGTGGAGGGATTACCCTCGAGATGTAGAGCTGGCAGATCATATCCTGCCCAGGTTTTATGTCCTTCTCAGATTTAGTGAGGAAGATGCCTCTGCCCTGACAGCCAGAGTCCAGTTTACAGATTCAAGTCTTGTGTTTCCTTGATCTGTCATTGGGCTACAAATTGTCAGAACTATGAGGAGGGTAACAGAAGAGAGGGACACTACAAAAGTTATGAAATAATGCGTTAAAGCTGCTTTCTAATGTAGATTTTGTAGGCCTAGGTTTTCAAAGTACTGAAAGAATTTTGCGAAAGTGTAACTTCAACAGTAGCAGCAAATAGGATTGTAAGAATATTGTAAGATTAAAGAATTGAACTACCTTCCTTCAGTCCTTTGCACTTAAAAAAGTTATAAATCACAATTGCTTCTCTTTCCTGATTTCTTTTCCAGCACTAATTTCAAACAGAGAAAACAATTTGCTTTCCTCTAGCCCAGCAGACTAATCTTTGCCTAGTATTCAGAGGCTTCTAATATGCTGGGAGTTAGCCCCTTCTGATATGCAAATAATAGAATTCAAATCTAATAGCCAAAAATTAATTGTGCCAAGAAGGAAGCCAGGCTTTAAGAAGGGCTTACTCTGCAGGAAGACAGAGAAAGAGGTTGAATTATTTTGGGAAGAGCTTTACCACCCTGCTCATGTTCCTAGCCAGAAAATATTCCCTACAGATCTCACCCCTTCCAGGGAAGTAGCTAACTTTCTGGGGAAAGAAGTCCAGGGGAAAAAAAAAAAGCCATAAACATATATTTTGATCCTCGTCTTTTTGATTGTAAAAAAAAACAATAAAGGGATCATCATCTGCACATAGCCTAACCAACTCACACCCATAAGCACTTGATTATTTTTCATTTCCATTAACTGATGTGTTGAGACAGTGTAATGTCCAGCATGATGCTCACTCCTCCTTATCTCTTGCTCCCCAAAAGCCATCCCCGCTAGCAGGTCCACACACTGCAATCGCAGAGGAGCAGCACTTTCAAGAGAATGCAGATCTGTAATTTCAAACTCTAGTTTGGACTCAGAGGGAGATGTAGAATCGCCGTTCAATTAGACCTTGGCAATCAATCAAGGTGGATTGCTTTTGCTCACTGCGGATGTATTATTTACAAACTGCCTGCTTCAGATGATAATCTGGGCAATTAGTCATAAATGACTACCAAACAAACCAACAATTTGTGTTTCAGAAGCTTCATGCGAGCTAGCAATAACTCCCAGAACAAAGAGTTCCATTGATATTTCTGATGAGTGGTGAAAAAAACAAAGATTCCTGGAATACGACTCTGAATTATGCTTTATTTGCGTTGGGAACGGAGCCATTTACAGTGCTTCTTCATGTTCTCCCAAGGCACGAATCCAGAAAAATACTGGCAAGAGCTCACAGACATATTAAGTTTTGACTTCTTGCCTAACTTCAGTCATTATGAGAGAAATATGTAAAATGATCACAAGCTAGTACTTCAGAAAGATTAAACATTAGGGATAGCCCAACCTCGCAAAGAGCAAATGTTAGAACAACTGGGGACACTCTGGGGCCAATAAAGAAATACTGTAATGACTGGTAGCACGTGTCTGAAGTCGACAGCATCAATGGGGGAATTCCGAGAGAGGCTGCCAAACTTTCTGCAAAACAAGACGCGCAGACACTAAAGCTTTTGATTTCTAACAATCCAAGTGCTCTGTTGATGCTGTGACCCCTGCGCAAATGTAAATTTACTAGTCCTTTAGGAACTGACTAAACCACAATTATTTTGGCTTCCCCTTTCCAGAGGCAGCGGGAAGGACCTCCCAACGCTCCACCCTTGCGCCAGGAGCAGACTCCGCAACCCAACGGACTCATCTTACGGCTGCAACACAACTTTTGAGGCATTTCCCCCCCCCCTTCCAAGGTTTCATCCCTGCAGTTATCACGTCGGGCCTGACATTAACGCCAGTGGGAGACTCCGCAGGCAGGAGCTGACTGCCAGGAGCGCCCTTACAGCGACCGCCACCCCCCGCCGCCCTCAGCTGGCACCGCCGAGCTCGGAGCACGGAGC